GAGTCATAAAATGGGAAGAGAACAAATAGGACAAATTGGGAAGTAGGCTAAAAGTTAAACTGCAGTGGTCATTTGGAATTGAGCTGTCCAACCTTCTGGGAAAAGTAAACTTTATGATAATTATATGACATTCTTGTGAAATTCCCCAAAATGAGGTAATGGTAACTATGGAAACCTAAAATGTACTTAAACGGAAGGTGAGACCCGGATTGCACAGACATTTTCTCTGGCTCCTGGTTTGAGACTGCCCATCAGCCAGTTTAATAAAGCTTTGTTTGTTCCTGCCTTTTCGGTTTTCTTGTGAGTGCCTTTCTCATTGAACTCGCTTGTCATATCACATTAACTTGGGTTTTTCTCAGTCCCAGCATTTATTTCTGCATTCAACAATACTAGTTTTGCTGAATAAATAAATAGATGGATAAATGAGTAAATAAACAAACCAATTAATAAATCAGCTGGATCTTCTGATCTAATTATGCATCACACCACATTATGCTGAGAGATATGTAATGTGGCTTCCTGGCCACAGAGCAGGGAGTTTTATCCTAAGCCCACAGGGAGAAGTCTTGGGAAGGACACATGGGCTCTTACCCTCTTCAAATCACATGTACAGCCCCAGTATTGAGCTGTGATCATTTGCTTGATTACACCCTTCCCTGCCTTTCTACCCGCTTCTCAGAAATCAAAGGAATATGAAATCATGGAGCTTTTGGACTACAGAGCACTTGAGGTTATGAGGTGACTGAAAGTGTGGGAGTGAACAATGTCAGGAATTTAGAGCCAGAGATGTGGGCTCAAATCCTTGATCAAGTGCCTCCTAGCAAGCTGCATACCTTTGATGAACCTCAGTTACTTTATCTGTAAAGTAAGGATAATAAAATCCTTTCTATGACATGACTGTCCCTCCAAAACTCATGTTGAATAGGTATTTGTATCAATTTCCCAAGATGATTGTAATTATGATAAACATATGATAAACATATACTAATAAAAAACTTCATGTTGAAATTTAATCATCGCTGTAGCAGTATTAAGATATGGGACCTTTCAGAGGTCACTGGGCCATGAGGGCACTGCCCTAATAAATAGATTAAGGCCCTTATCACTCAAGTGGGTTAGTTATACTAGGTCATAGGCTCCTGATAAAAGGATCCATTTGGCCAAATTCTCCCTTTTGTGTGTGTGTTTCCTCACTACATGAGGTCCTTCATCATGTTCTATTGTACCAGATACCAGCACGACACCTTTGGACTTCTAAACCTTCAAAAGAGCAAGAAACAACCCCTGTTCTTTATAAACTACCCAGTCCCAGATATTCTGTTGTAGCAGCAGAAAATGTGCTAAGACAATCCTCTCTATAAGATTATGAAGATTAGTACACATGAATGTGCTTTCTAAACCATGAACAACCTCAACCTACAGAAACTAAGAATACTAAATGTGAGAAGATCATAATGGCAGGGAGCATGTGGTGGCCCAGGACTTACCTCCATTGTCTCTCAGCAAAGGTCTGTGCTGAGCCAGCTGTCAGACACTGCAGCACCCACCTTTCTCTCCACTCTCTCTCACCCCACCCCACGCGCCCACCTCTAACTCAGAGAGCTGACATGTTGTGCAGCCTCAGCCTTGAGGCACTGTGTCATGCTCTGGCACCTGTCATTCGCCCCGTGCACAGGAGTAAAATGTGAGGTGACACCTGGAGATGAGGTGGGAAGGAAGAGCTGTCAGCAAGGACTACTGTGGGTGCAGGTGTCAGGAAGGTAAAAGGTGAACACTGTGTGGCCTAGAGAGAGGGCTCCCTGGAATAATGGTAAACTTCAGCCCTGGATCAAAGGGTACAATTTGATCTCCAGAATCTCCCACAAAGAAGCAGGTGACATGGGCAAATGACTTAACCTCTGTCAGTACTGGATGACTCATTTCTGAAGTCTGCTCTGCCTGCTTCACTAGGCTGGTATTACAACATAGTCCATTGACTCTGAGACCTCAATAACTGTAAGGTGTCCCATAATTTAATATATCACTAGGAAAGAAAGGCAAAACATGCCATCAATTAAATTCTGCCATGCCACTATTGTAACACATAGGCTGATTTCAGAGATGGTTCACATCTTAGGAGCAATGCAATGTAGATGAACACACAATGTGAATGTGAGAACAAATGTGATTGATTACTAATCCCAGTGGGTTAGAACCACAAGCCTCAGCACTCAGCAGGGAGCTGAGTGTCACCTCTTTGCCTGCACCTGTTCCCATAAAAATGTACTAAGGAGAAAGAAATCCATGGTTGCCTAGAAGACAGCTAAGCAATTGGTCTAGAGGGGACAAGACAAAGTTCTGTAGGCTCAGATGGAAAGCACAGGCCTATCTATGGAGGCAGCAGAGTCTGAACAGCCGCTAAGAACGGGAGCTGAGAGGACTGGGTATACATCACGACAGAAGCAATGACCTGGCCCCATTCAGCATCTGCATCCTGTCTAGGCACCTGTGGACATCCAGCCGAGAAATGGAGGACATTCTTGGTCATGTCAACAAATGGCCCCTGCCGATCCCCTCAAACCTGCTCCTTCAACAGCATTAGCAACACTAATTACAGTTCCCATGGGCCTCCCTCATCTAGTCAAATGGTCTGGTTCCTCCACCTCCTCTCACCCATCATAGTTTCCAGATCCCACACTAGAACAACCAAATTCCCCTACAAAGTACAACTGTCCCGTGGTATCTGCGGGAGATCTGTTCCAAGACCCTTTGTGAATACCAGAGTCCATGCATGCTCAGATAACTTATATAAAATGGCATAGAATTTGCTCATAGCCTATGCATATCCTCCCTCCACATACTTAAATCATCTTTAGATTACTTATAATACTCAGCACAGTGTAAATGCTATGTACAATTAACCAGTCAAATGCTATGTACAATTAACCAGTACAATGACTGGTACAATTAACCAGTCATTATAAGGCAAAAGGTCTGTGTATGTGCAGAACAGACACAATTTTTCCACAAATATTTCTATACACGCTTGGTTGAACCCATTACATAGAATCCACGGATACAAAGGGCTTCACTGAGTTCAATCTGTCAAAATATCTGGTAACATATGACATCCAAAAGATGTATCCTGAGCATCCTTAATAGTTATTTATCATTGCAAAAGACAGAAAACAATCTAAGTGCCAAATAATCACAAAAATAAGAAGCGAGCTATGTACATCTCTTTAACAAACTGCTGACCTGTCATTATAGGATGTTTTATCAAAGTGTGGAATAAATAACATGATAGGCACATACTATATTGAGAAAGGCAACAAAATTACAGGCATTTGACAAAAGCTTGTTTAGCATTAAGGGGCTGGGAAGAAATACTACAAAATAATCAAGAATTTTTCTTAATCAGGGAACTGGTTTTCTCCTTCTTTTGATCTTTATACAGTTTTGTATTTCGTTTAATGAACATATAATTGTTTAACATAAAAATACATGGACTCAACAAAAAATTTCAAATGGTCTCTGACACATATAGACCAATCTTGACAAATAATACCATACACTACACAGCACTTTACTTCTAGACAGAATCACAGCATTTCTAAGTGACTCAGATTCCCATTTAGGTTTTTTCTTGTACAGTACATATTTGTTTCAGAGACATTTAAAACATCACTCAAGCATACTACACTTTCTATGACAATGTACTTCTATAATACTGTGTACAAAATGTACCTTCATATACTAAATTATACTTAAAATCCAGTAGCAGATTTTTTTTTAAGAAAATAACTCCTAGAAAATCTCATTATAAGGCAACATATGCTTTTAAACATGAATAGTCACCCATACCAATGTATCCAGTCCCTATTTCAAGGGGTTGGCTACTTACAAGCTCTATTTCAGTCACTTATACCTTCCACTCTTTCTTTCACTCAATTACAATCAGTATAAAGGTCAAAGATTAGTGTCGTGTCTATCCCACAAGACAATGGTTCCCAATCCCTTATCCTTCACAGATTTGGTTACTTTCTATCCCACCCAATTACTCTTTGGAAAAATTTCCTCTTTTTCCCCTCTCCTTTGGTCAGTCTGAAGGTGGTGACATACTCCAGCTCTTTAGCTCTGCATGCTGACCAGGCAGAAGGGAACTTCCAGACCATACCCATAGCTGCCATGTCTACACCGTACTGCTTCCCTCCCCTGTAGGCACCAGGAGCCACCTGACATGGAGACCTACCATGCCCCAGAAATCCAGTGTGGCATGCCTACTACCACCATTGTCAAGCCTCATCATATCTGCTATGAAATTGCAGGGCCAGCCATATGTCTTTCACAATAGTTATACCCCAAAGAATGCTTTATCAGATATTTAATAAATGTACCAGCATTACATATGCCCCTGTGATGCCGGGGCAGGCCCAAGATAGCATTACTATATTAATTTCCAAGGAATGACTTATCAAATATTTTAACATGACACTTTCTTATTTGCATATTAATAAATATGCAAACCATTAAAAAAATTCTGTTGTCAGAACATGAGTCTTAATGATCAGTTTAGAAAATAGGGTCAGGGTCTTCTCCAGACACCAACAGAAACCGTACTCACCTGTACCTTTTGGCTCAACTCGGGGGTACCTCTCAGGCTAGGGCAATTGCTTGCTGAAGTGAAAAGCCTCCCACCCCAGGAAAGTGGGGGTTCAACAATCTAGCCAAGCACAGAACGGAAAGCCAGACCTGCCCAAGAGTTCCACAGCCTCTGTCTAATACCACAAACACCTCCAAAGGGCACTCCCACACCTTTTGAGGTTGGTCCTCTGTGGTCCAACACCACAGGGAGTCTTATCCTTGGATATTTTCTTCTGTGTCTACTCCACAGTCTGTTGTCTTTCCACTGTAGGGTAACTGCACCAGCCACTACAGATACACATACACATACACATACACATACACATACACATACACATACACATACACAAAGAGGGAGAGCAAGAAAGAGAACTCACCCACTGAGGACCACGATGAAGTCCATAACATTCCAACCATTGCGGAGATATGAACCCTTATGGAAGATGAACCCGAGGGCCACAATTTTGATACCAGCTTCAAAGCAGAAGATCCCAATGAAATATGGTTCTGTCTTTTCCTGGGGGAATAAGGAATAGAAGCACCAGTAAGAAAATTGTTCCTCATCACATGCAAGCACAGGCATACTCTGACCACTTCCTGTGTGCTTATAGGTAAAAAGTGAGGCTAATGAGGGTCCAAAGAAGACCAGAGGCTATAGGTGTACTGTGACTTATAGAGTACACAGTGCAAGGGGCCAACTATAGACACAGATATGTGTGGGGTCACCCCAGAAACTATATTTCGTTCTGCTACAGGTCCCCGATGGCTTTGCCCTGAAGAAGCTTGACTCTCCGTTGCTGCTCTTCACCTCAGTTAAAAATTCAGAGTTCCCATGGTCAGGTAATCAGGCTAGAACCACTCACCCACACATTTGGATTTTAAGCAATTTGTTTGCCCTCTTTAGGGAGAATACATTAGACATGTGAGTCATTTCTTTGGGGAGAATATGGACGTCAGCATTTAGCAAGTTTGTAACCACCAACACAAAAAGCTTTGCGTTTCCTTGCTCCTCTCTCCTTTGCCCTCTCTTTCTCCTCTCACTTGGGAAATCCCTTGGGAAAGAGGAATAAAGCAAACGGCCTTGTGCCTGCCCTTTCTCCTTGTCTGGCTCCCATGTGGTACACACGTGTGTCTGCAAGGCCCTCTTTCCCTCACGAGTCCCAGTGGGGCTGTTACCTTGCTGTTACCTTGTCCTTGGCAAAGAGCAAGCTCCTCACAGATAAGGAATGAAGTAAAGGGGAAGAGAAGGTCATAAACCCAAGCAGAAGGGAACCAGGGGAGAGGAAGAAGGGGGGAAAGGTGGATGGAGAGAAGCACATACCAGTCTTCGGGACATCGGGGTCTTGTCATCCTCGGGAAGATGCTGCTCCAGGGCCAAGACGATGCAGTTGGCAATGATGGTGGCCAAGATCATGTACTCAAATGGAGTAGGGGAGGAGAAGTTAAGGAACAAATTCACCTAGGAGAGAGGGACACAGCCTCCCAGATGGCTGTGCATATAAACATACCAACTATCAAGCCCCACTGTGCTTATGATTTGCAGGATTTGTATTAGCAAGCAGGCAGGCAGGACGGTGTATGATCCTTAGCACGTGAAACATAACCATGTGGGGTAGGTCTGTGAAGGGGCACCTTCTCCAAGAAAAAGAAGCCAGTAAGTATCAGAGTTAGGCATGCAGCAGGCACTCCAGATACTACGTGAATTCAGAGATAAGTCCAGGAACTAACAAGAGCTGCAAGTGGATGGAAGAAACATGATTAACGCAGGAGCAGGCACCAGGCACCCTGTTCTATTTGTCAAGCCCCTGCACTGTGAAACAATGCTTTTCCAAAGACCCAGCTGTGCCTGCCTGTTGCCCTGTGGGAATCACATCTGGGTTCCTCTAGAACCTCTTCTCAACTGAGTCAGAGAAGAACCCCTAAAAATAAACCATTCTTCCCATGTGAAGCCCCTTTTATTTTAATAACCAGCTCAGAAGAATACTTCATGGAGACAGTAAAAGCTCGCTTTGCCCCACCTTATTTTCTCCTAAGCTTCCGCATCCACAGGAAGCAGAAAGAGGTAGCATCCTGAAGTGGCAAAGCCCAGGCCTTCAGGAACCAAACTGTGAGTCAAATGAATGAATGCAGGCTTTTTGCTGTTATATTTTTCAGAAGTTAGATGAGGGGCTCCCTATGTCTTTCTGAAAAACAGGATTATGATGCAAATCCAGCCTGCTGACTCTAGCAGAGAGGTTTTGCTACAAGCGTAAGGGGAGGACTGTTACAAAAGAAAGGGAATCACTGCTCTCTCCCAGTGCCCAGTCATCCTGCATGTTCAGATTTTATTCTGTAACTAGCATTATGACAAACCCAAGCCAGCTGTTGTCATTGGTCTTGCAGAGAAACCTGTGCTCTGGCAGATTCCAGAATCTAGGCAGGAGAGAAGAATAGTAGATCTGGTGAAGGGGAGGAAATGACAAGGCCATTCTCCTGTCTCCCCACAGAGCCACGCTGGCTGTGTAGGATATAGGACCTAAAACCCTCCCTTCCAGTACAGAGGGAGAGCAAATCACAAATATCCCCCCAATCCTTTCTATCCCATCTTCATGCTGATGTCTCTGTCAATGGCAATATTGAATGCGTATTAAGGGATCTTTCTGGAGGGGCAGATCATGGGGCATACTGCAGGCAGAAGCTGAGTGTGCACGGAGATGTGAGCGGCCCACCAGTTGCTCTGGCCCTGGTGTTAGCACAGGAGACTGCAAAGGGGAGATGACTGGCTGCATGTGAACCTCAAGTCCTCTTGCTTCCTATTTGGCAGTGCCATCTCCTCCCCCATCACATGCATCCCTGAGTCACACACATTCTCCAGCAGCTGGCCATCTTTCCTTCCCACACACTCCCAGCATCACACAGCATCCCTACCCCAGAGACAGCTCTGCTGGCCTCTGTTTCCCTGCCACCAGCCACCAAATCTGGAACCTGTGTGAGCCTCAGAGAACCTTGGAGCCAGATCCCTGCCTCCATCCCACTGTGCTTACTTGAGCCCTCCCAGCCAGAGGAAAGCCTTATCAACTAAAACCCCACCAGCACCGTTGGCCATTCCTCCTCCTTCAAACTCCCTGGATACCAAGCTCAGCCTCTGAGAATTAAGCATAGCACCGGCACATACCTAGCTCACATGTCTACCTTCTCAGGTTGAGCCCACAAACACATGCAGTCAAGGACACCAAACCCCACTGATCACAGTGTGATAATTCCTCATCCCCATGAGCAGCTCTAATGCAGAGCTCTAACAAACACAGAGCAACAAGGGACCATCCCAAGGCAAGGAGCAAGGATAGGACACAAGGCCCCTGCAAGGGCCAGGCTATCCTGTGACTGATGATGACACTCAAAATCCCCAGATCTACCTGATAAAATGAAGATAAGATCATGCCAGAAGTGGTGGCTGAGGATTCCATGCCCTTTCCTGAAAACAGGCTGGGAGATGGATCCAGAAAAAAAACTGATAATACGCCTGCAACTCAGTGATGAATGACAATACAAGTCCAGGGCATTCAGGGCATAGTTCCCACAATGTAGGCCATGAAATACTAGTGCTACAGGAACTTGCAATCAAATAAATGAGAGAAAGCCTGGGTTAAATAAAGTTAAGTAGGTTTCTTCCCAGCAAGACCTCTTGTAGCTTTCTATACTACTCTATACAGCATGCCCCGCCCATATACACACATACACAAAAGGGGTTGGGAACGGGACACGGTGTAGCCACACTTGTTTAACCTTATAACTTTTTTTTTCAGAGTATCTCTCTTAGGAATGCTGTTCACAGGAATACACTTGGGAACCCTCATACAGCACAAGTCCCTCTGCCAGTCCTCCAGATTAGCAGGAAGAGGGCTGGTGGCTCTGACTAGAGTAAAAGTAGCACCTCTCCCATATCATGCCCCATCTTTTCCCTTACCAAAACTATTTACAAAGGTATGGGGTTCATCTGGCTATTTTTCATGGTGAAAAGTGTCAAGCTACAAACTCAGAAACGTGCTCAGCACAGCCAAGGAGACTCGGCCCTGATCTGGGAAGTGGGACTGGGAACAAACAGCTTCTCATCCAAGCTACAGACGTCATTAGCTCTTGAGAGTCTGTTTCAGTCTTTGATTACTTCTGAGGGTTGAGTCTTCTTTGCATGAAAGTAATAACCACAGATCTAAAAGTAAATGAGCAGGCAAGACAGGTCCTGGCAGTTGTGCACCCTGAGACTATTCTCCACAGCAACTCCCACATAGACTGCTGCGGCCTCTGCAGTCCCCACTCCTCACTCCTTGTCTCACACAGGCGTCTGTCTAGTCAGATTTATCTCTCCACTGGCAGTGCTTAGCAGAGGCCCTGGTACACAGCAGGAGCGGCTAAATGTAGGGATGAATGAAGGTGAGGAACTCCACTGAGTAGCCCCTCACTCTGGCTCAGGCTCAGACCTAACTTTGCAGGCTGACTCCCTTTCTTCCTGCCAGCTGAACCTCAAACCCAATGGCAGAGGCCCTGCTACATTTCAAAGGGAGGAAAAACCTGGACTACCCAATAATGGCCCATGGCTCAAGCTACTGCACCGCTCGGGCGTCACAAAGATGAGACTAGGGAAGCTCAAAAGAAGCTCCACTGGTCATGGCCTCCAGGAAGATTATCTCTTCAAAACCTTCCTGGCGTGGAATCATACTCAGAGGCATGGTGAAAGCCGCACAGGACTCATTCTTTCTGCCCAGAAATTCAGCGACTCCCGGCATAGTCAGTGCCTGATATGAAGCGTATTTTGTACAAGGGTGCCCTTCCCGGATGGCCAGATTGTTTGCGTTTTGAGACCCAGAACAGATGGAGCTACTGAAGCAGTGAGGCCTGGGAGCCTGAGGCCAGACACTTTGCCCGCCTTGTTCACCTCTGTACTGCCGGGGCCCAGCATTGTGTTTCTACTTAGTGGGCACCCAATAACTTATTTAATTAATAAATTAATAATCAGTTATCAGTGAATAGTGCAGGGAGATGAGAGCCTAAGGCATCCTTCCTTACAAAAGGTGGCCCATATTCTCTCTACATTGTATCCCATTTGAACTTTTTGTTCTGTACACTGTGGACACACATTATCTATTAAAAAAAAGACAAGGAGAAAAAATAAAGAAGAAACCAGCATGCATAGAAGAGCCTTTAATGTTAAAAGAGAAAGAAGACAGAGAAAGGGTGAAATTCTGTCTTGCTAGAAGAATAATGAGTTTTTCTGGGCAGCAGGGTTATTTTCGCTTTCTTCTTTACTCCTTTATCCATTGTCTGAGTGTTATAATGAGCATGTATTAATTTATAATCATAAAATCAATTAAAGCTATAGACATTCTGAAGAAAAAAACCATCCCAAGGGGAGGGTAAAGGGGAAGGTGACAGTCACGGAAATCGGAATAAGGTTTCTGAGAGGATAAAAACCGGAGAACAAAGGGGAGGAGCAGAGCAAATGAGGAAATGACCATGAAAAGTGCTTTGAAACCTCCCAAGACCCTGCCTTTCCAGCCTCCCTATCTGCTCACTGGGGACTTCACTTCATGAACTTTCCTAGCAGTCTCCCCAAGCACCCCCCGACTCCTCTCTCCCTCTGCGCCCATTAATGAGGACTTGTGTCACTCCAGCTCTCCTTTCCCCTTCCCTGTCTAGCAGTTTCAAGACAGTCATTAGGGAAATGATAAAAATAGGTTCGCTTATTGATTTATCTCCTTTACCCAATGCTCCTTCCTTCAACCAGTTGACTTGTTTCCTTAGCAACACAGCTAATTTGAGCGGTGTTGCTGGCCCGCACACCTGCCATTTGTTCAATTTCTTCTTGAGCACAGAAAGCTGGGGCAAGGGAGAGGGCTGACCTCCTAAGGTTCCGTAGTGCTGGATGCGCTTGCCAATGGAGCCATGAGGCCTGGCCTGCGGCTGAGCCTATCCACTACCTGGCCCTATCACTGCTTCCCAGCTTCAGATTTACAGGTCCAGAACTAAGAATGACTTAAGTGACAGGCAGCAAATGCAGGATTCTCTGAGAAAAAACACACACCTCTGTGACCACCAGGTGCTGCCTGGACCCCTCTGCTCCCAGCTGTCTCCTCCCAGAGCTTCTGATATCACAGCATAAAGAAAGTGAATTATTCAGAAGGCTGAAGGGGCACCAGGGACAGGCAGGCAGAAAATGCTGTGCTTTCCCAACTCCAGGCCTAATGGAGAACATGCCATGCATCATCTATGGAGAGCAGCCTGTGGCCACCCCAGCACTTTCCAGAACTCCTGGGGATGCCTAGAAGAGCCCACAGTCTCTGGGGAGGCATGTGTCAACATGCCTTTAGTGTTATCTTTAGCCATAACTCCCCTTCCTCAACCACCTCCCAAGGCCCAGAATAATCTCCCACAAGATCTATCTCCTCCTCTG